AAACTATTATAAAACTATTATAAAACTAGTCTAACGAATAGGAAAGGGTTGAGACAAATGATACTCACTTTGACTTCCCTTAAACTCATGCACTCCTCCCATGAATAATATTTTTTCTTCATCCTTAGGAATCAAATGAATAAAATTATTATGAATTTACGGCAATGGAAATGTTTGTCATATACTTTTTAATGGCAACTTTATCTCCGTTGTCCAGTCTCTGTGCCAAAAGCACTGACCCATAGGTGCCGTCCCCGAGTTGGCTAAGTGTCACATATCTATTCATTGCTGATCTCTTAAATTGGTTCAGATTTGAGTTATTCTTTATGTTATTATTTAATTTAAATTGAGATTCCGTGGAAACAGTTGATCCAATTAGTGACAACATTATACATGACTGTGAATACCATTAAGAACTACGTCTAAAGTTAAATTCACTTAAATCTGAGACCAATTGATATATTGGTAATGACTTTCACATAAATCGGTTAAACTCATTGAATCGGAAAAGATAATCACTTTTACGGTAATATTTGCCTTCAAAACGAAAATATAGGCGAATGAATATATCAAAGAAATCAATTCTTGTACGGAATTCACAATTCCTATGTAATATCGATATGAACTTCAATACAGTACAGCATTATTATAGTTATTCTATGAGTTCACAACCAAAGCCAACATCGAATTCAATGTCAGCTTTTTTACACTATTCTAATGCTCTGCAGTTAAGATCACTATAATCATGAAAATCTCACAAACTTTATCTAATTTCACACAATTCACAACTACTATACAATTAAGTCATCTCTTAATTGACTATTATATGGAATTTTAAAAATAATTTTATGTCATCTAAAAATATAAAAGTAGTTATGCTTTCACTGTTCACTTGTGTTGTAAAACAATTGCATTTCAAGTATTGCACTCAAGAATAAAGTTATGAAAACTTCAATAAAATGTCGATTAAATGCTACCTATTTTTGTCATGCGTTCTGTGTTTTTATCATTTATTTCATGAATTACTTGCATTTAAGTGTCGATTTATATTAATTTTATTTTAAAATTGATTTCAATATCCGATGAATATTAAGAAATTTCTTAAATAATAATCACAAATAGTTTGAATCAATTGACGGTCTATTGGCGTTCACTTCACAAGAATTGCTGTTTCAATGACAAGTGCAGGCATTAGGGAACGACGGTTGGGCCGGCGCGTGAGTATTACGTCCGCGCCCGCCCGCCCGCGCCCAATATGCCCGGCATGCCCAAAAAATGGAAGGGGCTAAATACATCTCTCATATATTACGTCCTGTAATAAGGGGTAAAAAGGGGAACAATTATTATTATATCCAGATGCATTTGTTGCACATAGGGCGCATTGGGCGCGACTTTACCAGACATTTGTTAAATCTAGTAAAATACAGAATATTTTATGGCTGTTTTTTAAACTAATTAGATGCTAGTAGTAAGGATAAATGTTTTTAAAAAGACTAACTTTTAATCTAACTTATAATTAATTAATTAATTAAGTTGTAATGTTCAAAACTGGGGGGGCGGGCACGTCTCGAATACGCCGGGCATGCCCTGGGTGCGCGTCCAGTACGCCATGGCGGGCGCGTGTCTTTCCAGTCACTACAGCAGGCATTGAATGCATTGAATGGACGTAATTGTTGTGAACCCTGTATTGCCGTAAACCTTAAGTGCATTTCTCTTTCCTTTTCCGTTTGGTTTGCATTCATAAGCGTTGATCCAAACCATTGAATCAGTTTTAATCCAATTAATCGTCTAATCACTCGAAGACTAAAGCAATCGGTGGTCAGATATGGGACACAACAACATCTGGTACTCTCATCCCCGTAAATACGGCGCCGGATCTCGATATTGGTATGTATTTGTTGCCTGATTAGTGCGATGACCCAATCATGCCATTGATTAATATGATGTATTTGTGTTTGTATCTCAGCCGGGTGTGCAGCAATCACCATGGTCTGATCCGCAAGTACGGCCTCAACATCTGTAGGCGTTGTTTCCGCCAATACGCCGATCAGATAGGCTTCAAGAAACTCGACTAAACATCCATTTGTTATGTATTTAAAGTAAATGTCATTCAAATAAATAGCGATTTTTGATTGAATTATAAACTAATTATTATTGCATTTATTATTAAACATACAATTCGTTGACACCACTATAATAGTAATCATTGTGACAACATTTCATTCAATACAAGGTTTCAATTGATTACAAAACTAGTGAAAAGAGCGGGTCTTAAATAAATCTAATATAAGTTTAGTTTAGTTTACAAATTAATATAATTTCATACAATATATAATCATATAGTTTACAATCTTATATAATCACTAAAAGCCAAATAATTGACAAATTTATGAACAAAATGCGAAAATTAATGTCAAACTTAGACATTGTCTTCATTGATGGCATTGTCACGGATGACGAGAATGCTGTTGAAGATCTTGATGGCGGGACCCAACTTGAGGTTCAGGATTTTGACGATATCGTTCTGATTGAGCAGTAGAAACGCCTCGCCATCGATCAACTGTCACCAGGATATCACACATTGAATGCATAATTCACTTACAGATCATTAGGCCATATAATCACATGACATACCTGTTCGGCAAATACTTGTCCGACGGATTCGCAGCCGGGAATTTGGTCGATGAAATCGGACACTTTGGTGGGCGTCCACGACAACACTTCCTTCGACTTGGTTTTGTCAATACCGGGTAATGTAGTCTTCGAGTGTCGGTCCCAACAGACGGGCGCCTCCTGTTGTTGTTGACTCATCCGCATCGCGAATATCGAGTGTTGGAGTGAAGACAAGTTGGTTATGGATGAGGGAGTGGAAGGACGCGAGTGTTTGGCCGACTCTGAGTTAGTGCTCGGGGAGACGGGACCGTTAGCACCGTTAGCATCGTTAGCACCGTTCGACGGACTGGACCCCAGTTTGCGTTTTCTGCCCGCTTTAGTGCCACACATTTGCTGGCTTTTCACACTTTTCTGACTTTTTTGTGCAGAGTTTATAGAATTGGAATCCGAAGGGGAGGGAGACTGTGATGGAGACACTTGACTCTCATCCGGGTCTTCGGTGGCCATTCCGTCTGTGTTTCGGTTTCCGAGTCTATCCGGCAATTCGTATTCGAGTCTGGAGTCAGTGTAGGGACAGCTCACCACTGAACTGTGATTTCCATATTTGCAACTCCGTATGTGACCCATCCCTAGACATCCCGGTGTCGGACATAACGCCATTCCTTCCGGTCTCTCTTTTATAGCCTTTAAGTCTATTTCGTTTGAATTCATATTTTCATAATTGTTAGTATTTATTGTAAATACTATTAAATCACATTTAAATACAATATCTATTGCATGAATCTTTATGTATAATAAACTCTGAATGACTAATATTACTGATCATTGATTAGTGACTGTTTAGACTACAGTATTACTCATTACCGTGTATTGAAAGTGAGTCTCAAATGGGACTCATATACAGTTAGGTATTACAGTATAGTAATAGGAGAAAGGGGTTGAATACCTGAAGGTGGGGGCGGTTGTAAGGGATGACCAGTTTTATGACACCAATTGACAGGATGTATGTCTGGAAGGTCGTCATCGACCTGAAAGAAAGGATATTAAATATAATTCAATAAAATTGAATGCAATTCTTACCCAATAATCGTATTTCTCATCCCAACCGTCGAAATGAAGTTTAATGCAATGGGACTGCCGGTGCGATACCGTACAAACCCGAACCAGTCTGGGGTTGCGTTTATCGACCGCTTCCAACTTGAGGCCCACTTTGAAGTTATTGGAGGACCGGGTTTTGAACAAACGGGGAGAGACTGCGTGTGATTTGGATTCCGAGAGGTACTCCTCCCACGAAAACTTCTCACTCGATCGGTAATAATCTTTCGGTGGAGTCAGAGACCGACCTTTTGTGCGACACCTGTAATACAATTGAAAAAATTAATTCAAATTATCGATAATTTATGTGTATTTAAATACCAGTTAACCGGGTGAATGAATGGAGATGTAGTTTCGGCCCAATAGTCGTAACTGTCATCCCATCCGTCAAAATGAATGAGAAGCCAATTGTCAATAATATCTGCAATAGTGGCCACACATACGAGAGCAGTGTTAGCCCTATCGACGGCCTCCAACTTCATTCCTATTTGGAATCCGTTGGGAGGAAGCGATTGATGAGAACTGGAAGACGAGAAGAGGTGTTTGGGCGCCGCCACGGCTCGCGTTTGCTGTAAATATTGATTCCAATTGAACTCATCATCACTGATACCGACCGGTGGCTCTAATTTGCGATTTGTTTGTTCACAAAATCCGGCCGCAAATATGAAATCGTTGTCATAATTAACCCAAAAGTCAAAGAGTTCCTTATATCCGTCGAAATGCAATCGGATTCTGTGACCCAACACTTCGGCAACTGTTAGAACACAGAACTTGGAGGGGTGTTGGGGGTCAACCCCTTCCAACTTCATGCCAACTTTGAAGTTGTTTTTCATTTCGGGAAAGGTTTGACTTTTGGTGAAACACTTGACCGGAGCTGCCGTTGAATTGGTTTTGTTTAAGTATTGCCGCCACGAGAAGGCCATACTAACCACGTTCTCAACAAATTTTCCGGCATTTGTCTCCACGTCCTCCACTTCTTCGTTGGTATCTTCAGTACTCTCATCGCCTTCAATGGTTTGGTTGCTATTTTCGGTTTGATAGACGACTGGTTCGATAATTTGTTTGCGAGACTTAATCACTTCCGAGTTGTTCACTTCAGACTTCTTCTCGTCTTCCTGTGCCTTAAGTGAAGACAATTCAGTGCTTCTTTTGGTCAACAGCTTGAGGTCGGTGGACACGAGTGTAGCGCACGCTTTGCTGCAAAAGCGTCCCTGTCTTAAGAATGTGTTGGCCGCACCTCTTTGGCCACAATTTATACATTTAAGCAATGATTCGCTTTCATTGCTCTCTTTCGCTTCATCTTTCACTTCCGTTTTGTCCGATTCTTGAGAACTGTTTTTCTCTGAAGTGTTCACTTCCTGTTTGACACCATTAGTGGTCGAAGCCTCCACTTCCAGATCATATTCTTGAACCATATCCAAATGTCCGAATTCGTCGATTCGGAATTTCAGATCACTTCCGGGCAGTGTTCCGATTCCGTCCCTCCACTCCATGATCATCATTATTGAATCCATTTCCTCAATTCCAGTCATAGAACCACTTTCTGATCCTTTGTTCTTATTTTGTTGATCAGTGTTTGCAGTGTTATTGCCGTTTGAACTAATGGTCAGATTTGTGGTAACCGGTGTTAAGGCCGGAGGAGTCAGGGTTTGAGGGTTTGTCACACAATTCGTTGCAAATGTCAGGTTTTGAGCCATCAGTGGGGGTGGAAGTGGTGATTGCAAGTTGTCTTCAGTCTTAACCACTACCTCTTCTATTTATTCAAAACAAGTCTTAATTTGAGATGTTTTTCAAT